CCTATTCCGTCAATTAATTTAATTTCAATTTACCGGAGAGAAAAAAAATAAATAATACGCGCAGAAGATTCGCTATTTTTCCATTTGTCTATCTTAATTGATCTCTGAAAAAGGGGAACCAACGAATGTGGGGATCTCGGCGGATATAAATCGGATATAAATCGAGCTGAATCTTCCTCAGACAGCTGATCGTAACGTAATTGGCTGTGGTATCGGTTAATTTCTCATAAATCTTTCTTAGGTTTCCCCTTAGGGGAAAATCGAGTAGCTGGTGACTTCACGCAGTAAATCCATTATGGAGAAACATTCCAACAAATTTCATTTGTCACATTTAACCCAGTGCAGCCGGCATTCCATCATTTTTCAAATTTTTCCATTTTTTTAGATATAGCGTAATTGATTTTCCCACTGATTTCCCAAAAAGCTTAAACAACATTCCATTTACATATGATTCTGTCTAAATTCAAATGTTGTGTTAAGACCCAGGTGGACCATCTATCTAACGTCATCTTTTGTTTGAATTTGATCTTTTTAGCCTAAATAGTACATTACGCAACAAGTGTGTAATGGGTTTCTTGGCTCGTGGGAGGGTTGTAACAGGAGCCAAAGGCGAGTTTCACAATCCCACGAGTCAAAAAATCCATGACGCACGTGTTTCGTACACTATTTTATGCCATTGAGCCCGTAAACCGCGGTTCTACCGAGCGAAGGGAGGATATAACAAATAATGAAAAAAAAAAGGAAAAATTATTGGAGGGCGCTGAAGTGCGATATTGTTTAAAAAGAATGTAAAAATACATAGCTCATTATATATGTCATATACATAGATAATTGCGGCCACAAATGCAATGTGTCACATCATGGTAAGCTACGTATTTTTTATCATTTTTTAGTAAACTTGATAGATCCCTTTTAAACAATATCGCTGTTTAGTGCCCTTCAATAATTTTTCCTCTCTTTTTTCATTCCTTTTTTATGTCAAATTTTACTGTATTTTACGCTAAAATGATGAAATTTAAACAAAAGATGACGTTCGATAGGTGGTCCACCTGGGTCTTAACTGAAAATAAAATTGCCGGAAATATATTTTTGTCACGAGGCCCAATATAACTAGCCTAGTACTTTTTAGGCTTATGCTTGGTAAGTGTTACTTACAAGCCTAGATTTGCTTAGAACTCGGTTAGTTATATTGGGCCTCGTTACTCAAAATAATGTATGGAATATGGCCTCAAAACCATTTCAGTCATTATGACGTCATTTAAGTCACTGCAGAAAATATTTTTTTTAATGCTGGCCTCCTAGAATTAGAAGATCATTAATATAATATCATTAAGTATAACATTATAATGACGAGATCTACTGCGCACCCCGTTGTGCACCGAATTTAAATTTCCCGGTTGGAATTGACCAATAGGAAATCGGTCTTACGAGTTTCGAGATATTTGGACTCAGGGGTCAATTTTCAAATTATTATCATTATTTCTTTATCCTTTCAATAATATTTTCTCCATGAATTCGCTCATACAACTTGAATGATGGTAATGATTTTTTTAAAAGTTTTGTCTCGAAGTTTCCAACAACGTAACGAGAGTTATTCACACGTTCCTCTTTAACATAAGTAATTACATTAATGTGAATGGTAATTTCTTTACGTGTCGATGAACTGAGGCTCGCATGAACGTGAGAACGATAATTGGGAATTAAATACGTGTATTCATAATGTTTTTCACTCATTGTTCAGAGTATCCAACCGCAGATTACGTAAAACTTGAATTATTTTTCTCTTGTTTTTCTGAAGCATATTTTCCACGGAAGTCGACAATTGTTATGTCTTGTCGTTTTATTACAGAGGAGATTACTTCGAGGGGTAAACAAGGCTAGTATTTAAAAATACTGGTAAAAAGAAGGGGTTGACTGTGATTATTGAGATATTGGATGTAATTGCATTGACATTATTACACCATTTAGTCTAAGCAATAAAATACATCCTATGTTTATCAAAAAAGCAGTACATTTTTTATAGGGTTTGAAGTATAAAATAACATCCGTCACACTTGGAACACTGTAACCGTTAGTCATTCTTCTTGAAAACTCAAAATTATTGAATATTTTATTATTGCTTTATAGAAGTTATTATTAGACTTTTTCTGAATATTAATTGCAGAGATTACCAATCAATCTGTGGACAATTTTGATTTTACAGTTTAATGGTGAAAATTTCCCTTACTCATTTTATATTTGCAATTAATCAAAAAGTTTGTAGAAATTTCTGTTCGTGCACTTGTGATCGAATCATCCGTTTCTTTTTTTTTCCTATAGTCTCACGGGAATTTGGGTCGAATGATATTTGAGGATCGCGTGACGGATGAATTTCAAATAAAAGAAATTTCGACAGTTTGATAACGGATATATACACTGGGGCACATTGCCATGGCGATATCGAGCTGCTAAAGACTTTTTTTATCGAGCTGAAAACTCTTCCCGTTAAGATTTATCGGAGGGAAGACATCCCTACGGAGACATCCCTCAAACTGGTACCACAACTACCATTCTTTTGGCTCTTCTGCCTTAACCAAATATTCCTCTTCTCCTCGTTTTATTTATTAGGTTGGTTCGTGTGCCCTCAGTGGATGATATTCACGTTTGCCATCCGTATTTCATTTCTCTTGGTTCCAATGTCCGTGACGGCACGACCTTTATGTAATCATTCTCCGGATTTGTCTCTGTCATTTGGTATCATGTTGTTTTATTCACCTTATGTTGTCATATCGAATTTATTGAAAAATTATTGGAATTATTTCCGAGGAAAACTCAAGTATTATCAAAATTTTTCGTCATTCTTTTTATTCAAAAAACCGAAGATTTGTATTTGCTTTTGTTTCCATATGCTATGTTTTAACAACTTTTCCATTCATGTGGATTATTCTCCCTGTACCTAATGAAGATTAGTTCAATACCCCGAAGACGTGTTATCCCGTTGGGGAAATAATCTTCTGCACTGACTGATGAGAAGGAATATTATCACTTTTTCTAAACATTTGACAAAACGGTATTTATTGTGCAAATTGAAATGAAAGCTGTAATCTCTTGGTCAGGTTCATCCAATTAACAAACCGAATGAAAATGATCAATTAGTTGCTAGTGTGCGGGTGGTAGTGGTTAAATGGAAACGATAAGGCTCAGACCCGGTGAAGGCACATGATGATACATGAAGGTTGAAACGAACCCAAGGTCGTTTAAGGTTGTTCTCGTGTAGAATTTTCTTTGCACTGGTTTATAATTATCAAAAATTGATACATTTCTATAATTAAAAATAGTTAACAATCAAGTGAGACTATATACCGTCAAAAGATAAACTTTTGGCAGAGACTATCGCGCGACACAACCTTAAAGTTAGATGCACTGCCTCCTCACCCTCTTTCTTGCAGAGGCGTTTTGCCGCTCGATTTTTCAGGAGTGTATAATACCTCTCGTTTCCGATCGCTGTACTGCCACACCCATATCCTGTCTATATCATCTTTTTTTTTTCTCTTCTTTTCACTTCCTACCATCGAGTATCCTCCTTTCAATCCCCAATTTCACTCTAAAATCCAATCGATTTTTATTCAATTACAAATCTATTTTGCAACTTCCGGAAATTACTGATACGACAAAGACTTCATTGAATAATCAATAATCATTCACAACGAAAAGCCCATTTTCCATAAATCTTCAACACGGTTGAAAAATTTAATGAACATTTCCAATTAAAATTCAATTCAAATTCGCATAATATTAAATTAATAACTCACACAACTGTTGTGGCTGGAATTATCCGAAATTTTTCACTGCGTTTATAGAATTACAAAATAGAAAATCTATTTTTCCACGAGCGACGTTCTAGGAAGTTTTTTAAATTGAACAAAAAGGGGCAATAGTGAATTCCCTTTGACAACTTAAATTCTAATTGATGGAGTTGTTTGTTAGAGAATTGTTAACGGACTCTGAAGAAAAACAATGCTCACGTGCCTCCTGTTAAGTAACGCGTGCCCTAGAATTATTGTTGCCGAGACGAGACGAAAAGGAAACGAAGGGAAAAAAATGGAGTAGACGTAACTCAACGGAATGGCCACGTTAACGAATACATGAGAATCTTTAACCGTGCGCCAGCACGTGTACACTAGACTCCCGGTGAACGGTCCTTTATAAAACCGTAATTGCTGCTCCATGCAAGCACACACCAGGGTGATCAACAATCCGTGAATCCTCTTCACGGATTCCCCGCTCCAGCCAATGAGCATCAGACATCTGCATAATTCCTTTAAAATCAATGCCTTGTCATTCTTCCATCAATCAGCAGCGAGACGGTCAATAGAGTTTTTCAGCATGTTTTTGCACATTTTTAGCAAACTGTTGCTCAATACGACGCAAAAATAGCCCATTACCTTTTTTCATTTTTATCATTATTCAATGATTTGGCAATGCCCAACTTTCCCAGTCGTGCGAATATTTCTCTACATTTTTTTTATCGACTTTTGTTTTAGGAAAGGCCCAAATTTTTGGAGAAAACCTTGAAAAATTGGTCTACAGTACAACAAGACTTCAAAAAACGCTACATCGTTCTAAAATCAATTTTTTTTTAACGTAAACACTCAAGGAAAACCCGCAATATATTAGCCTTATGGAATTTCTCAGGCCGGCTGAAAAACTTGAAATAGAAGTAGGCTTACTTCTATGAATTTAAGTGAAATCATTCACGGATTTTTGTCATTCTTGAGCCACTGATAATAAATTCTAGAAATTATTAATGAAAAAATGCAATTGAATGAAATATATTGAGACGGACAAGAGTATTGAAACGTTTGGAAGCGTGCTATGCAAATGTAATTAGTTAATTTCACAATGTATAGCTTGTTAGGTTTTGACATTATCCATGGTCCTCCATCGGTGCAGCAGTCATAAAGTGCAATAGAGTAAAAATGAAATAAAAAATTGAAGTTAACATATGAAAAAATTTTCAGGGTACTTAAACCACCTGGTGGTGGTAGCAGTGATATTTTCGGCGGAGCACCTGAGGACATCAGTCCCCGTCGTGTGAAGAATCACAATCAGTCTCAGCTTGGTACAGCATTGTTTGGTGATGGTGTCCCGAGTACAGGCAGCAGCAGTCCTGATTCACCTAGAGCAAAGCCCGGTAATGATTCACACAAACGTCTGTTTGGCCCTCCCGATCCATCCACCCCCAACACGAAAAATCACATGCGAAGCAATATATCACTAAGTGGATCTCAAGATAATGATTCACATATCAAAATCAACGGAGTTAATGGCAGTCTTAAGTGCAATGGCAATGCTATTATCAATGGGAATGCTAATACTAACGATATGACAGGTAAATTATCGCACTAATAACTCTACTTATTATTTTTTTTCCCAGCTCTGATTGCACGAAATAATGAGAAATCATTAAACGGTTAAATCAAATAAATGATTTTTTCACCACCGGAAAACTATTAAAATGTATCCATTCAATATTTCATTTCATTATATCAAGCAATTAGAGCTAAACCAACACTAAAAGTATACTACCTTGAAATATGTGAGACACAGGCCACTACAACTTTTATTTCAACGTTATTAGATTTTTTTTCTTCATTGAGATATCTAGCGGTAGCCTTCAGACAACTTAGTTACTTTCAGCAAATAATTAATTGGTTTTGTTTCATTGTAATTTATACCAATTTAGAATAAATGGGAACTTCAGTGTGGAAATTATAGAATGGCTTACGTCAGATAGACAAAATCTGTTAATTATGAATTTATATGACGAGGAATTAGCGCAGAATGTCGAAGTAACTTGAATCCAAATATATTGCCATTTTAGTTTAATATCAATTACACAAAAGATTGTGCCCGATATTTTCGAATTTATTGGTGATAGTAAAAGCGAGTTCGATTTGATGAATTATAAAAATAATAATAATGGGATGCGTAACACATTCTATCATTCAATTTCGATTTTACATCATTTCTAAAGAGCTAATAATCCGTACTGTATCTACAGAGAGAAATAATTTTGCAAATTTATGTGATCCTGATTAAGTGAAATTTCTGCTTAAACTAAAAGAAAATCAAATTAAAATGGTCTGCATTCTGCTTGTTTCAATATATTGTTTTTAAATTTATTTCATTTACTATTCTACTACTAAGATTTCTGGATCTGGAATAATGGCATTTCTTCTCCCTAAATTGTCGTGTTTTAGAATTTTTTTCGCGAAGAAAAAATTTAGCAAAGCAATTTTATCATTTTCGCACTGATTTTCCCCATTTGAAATCTGAGAGCACTATCAACGCTATTTAACTTCAAACTATGTCTGTTGATATTTACAAGCAGCATTTAGGAGAAGCAAGCGTTTTCGTAAGTGTGCAGCGAGACAATCGAAGAATAAATTAACACGACACAATATCAATATCACGACACAATTCCCTAGATATTTTCATTTGATCATTGTTTGAATATTCGAATCTCGATTGCCATCAAAAATGGCCCAGAGTCGATTCTAGAACGCGGGAAAAAGTAGAAGTAAATCATTGCTTTGATTTTATTAATTTATGAAGGTTTAGGGCCTGAATTCGATTAAAATCCACATATTTTGAGTTAGTCATCAACTTTTCGCTTATTAATTATATCTGCTCCTTATATCTGGTTTCAACATGATTTTGAGTGATTTTCTATTGCTTCTATTGTCATGGACATTTGGCTTCATTACTCATTCGTAATTTCTCACTTTCTACCATAAAACTCAGCTCTTTTTCCCTTCATTTTGATTTTCCTCTATCTTCGAGGTTACTCTCATACGCTTTCACATCAATCCGCACAGCATTAGCAAATTCACATCAATCAGTCATTCAGTGCATTTTAGTACTTTATAAATTTTTTTATTCTTTTATTTATTTATCCCTTCTGATGCGTCTAAAGATTGAATCTAAAATTGAAAATATATTCAACTAGTCATCACGAGTCATAAAAAAAGACTATTTGCTTAATTACTTTTGTATTGGTAGAAAATGAGATAGAAATGCTAGGGTGGGAAAATAGTATTGTTTATGATTTTTTATAAATGGTTAAAATGGATTCATTCTTAAGACGCTCATATGTAAAACACTAACACAAATTTCCACTGGGTTTCTGGATGCAATTGTTGTCTCGGTGCATGGATTTAAAAAATGACGAAAAATGAAAAAAATGGAAAACGGAAAACTGTGCTTTGGTGCGGGGTTAATTGTGGCTGTCGCTCTGAATCGCAAAAAAAAAACATATGGTGTGTGGTGTTGAAAAATTGCTGGTGCACGCCTCGAGCAGGAGGATCTTCCTGCATGCCTCGAAATCCGGTTACTGGAGATGGAATTGACATAACGCCGATCAGGCGCAGCGCCCGAAGGTGTAGAGGTAACATTTAACTGTATTAGGGTAAAAGCCACCATGTATCATGTCAATTATTGTTTTCATGTTGTCTACTGCCAAGGAAATATCATAGGGCAGTGCCAACTTTGCAATAGGGAAGCTGCTGTTTTTCGTCTGTGAAAAATGTCACGCCAAAAGTACTTTTCTTTTTTACTAGCGCAATTCAAATATTTTCTTCGTTATAAACTCCTGGAGGACAAATTATTTATTATCTAATCTAATATAATAATATCTCGTTATAATTATGGGTTATAATTTCCACGAATTCGCGATTACAAAAATTCGAATTACAAAAAAAGTCAGTGAAAACTATAGATACAAATTCAATCATGCCATGAAATTAAATAGAAATTACAACGATTTAGGTCAATATATTTTATGTAAACTGCCGAGAGACAGTAGAAAATCTATTTTTTTCGCACTGATTATTAATTCTTATATTCATGGAATATGAGAGAAAACTAGGCAGATTCTCACTTAAATAACCCATCTTGTTCACAACTCGTAATAATTTCCATGTACTTTGTCACGCGATATATCAAGTGAAAATCCAACATTTCTCTGGAAATTGAAGCTATAAAACGAAGAATTTTTTTTTCACAAAATATTCAATTTCTTGGGACAAGAATTGATATTTTCAAAATCATATTTCTTCAGGGGAATCACTTTCAGGCGAACCTCATTAGATTTCAAGTGCGGCAACCATGCGGTTCTACAGGATGATTATATTGCACATGGCCTTGAATATAGACTCCCTCTGATGCCATTATTAATTTTCTAAATTTCTTAGGGCCTTGAGAGAACAGTCTGAATAATTATCTATTATGATGTAACAGATAGAATAATATCGATATCGCCAGTCCACAAATAAGTATTGACGAAGCGTTTTCATTAATTTTTTAATAATGGTGCTTGGTAAGAATTCACTGAAGGGCATAGTTAGAAAAAGTTACTTTTCCTCAAGAAGATTTATATGATACAACAAACTCTTCTGTTGTCAATTTAAAAACCCTTAAAAATTGAGAGATTTAGATTATAATTGGGATTGTAATCGTAAAACCCTCTTAGTGTAAATCGATACGATTGTCATAATGATTAACCTAATGAACAATCTCCGAAAATTGTTCGACCAGAGAAAATCAGAATCAAAAAATGAGATACTTCTCTCAAAGTTTACTAATTGTTCATCCCAGTGATATTTGTCCTTTTTTCATTATGAAAATAGATGCAAATAGAAAATGAAGAAAAACACACTTCATGCAAGCTATCTATTCGGAAGGGTGAGAGGATAAAGTTTGCCTTATTTTTTGAGTTATGCAGGTTCGATTTTCTCGACCTATCAATGTCACTACCTTTTTCATGAATAAGGAAAGAGGAAGTGATTGAGGCAAGGCCGACACTGAAGTCTCGAGTCTATAATCAAAACACGTGATTCTGACGCGAATTTACCATGAACTTTTTACTTTTGCACTTGATGCATAACTTAATCGAGAATATCTATGTTACAAAAAAATGAATGAATATAGAGACAAATTGCACATCAATACAAGGATCTAACCAATAGATTGTTTTAATTGCCAATGAAGTTATTATTCTACTAGTTATGCTTATGATTAGATTTTTTATACGGAAAAAGAAAGTGTGTAAAAAATGATTGAGGCTTTGTGGAGAAAATGAATTAAGCAGTGAATAAAAAATCTGGAAAAAATCGAAATTAATCGCCTTACTAGTTCAATAATAACTAAAACTCTTGAGTCATTACAGTAATTATTATTCAGGTGTAGAGGTGAGTACGATTAACTCCACGCTACACTGACTATTGTGGCACCTAGTTGTGTTGTTTGTGTTAAAAAAAAAGACTTTCCACGTGTGTGTCTGTATTTGGATTAAGCTAGATTAAGAAAGAAAAAATTAAGAAAATTCTATGAAATAAAATGTCAAACTTTTTTTTTCAGAGAAAATTCTAAAAACTCTAGTTTAAAAATAATTCCGGAAGCTTATGTTTTCAGCAACAATTTATTAACGAAAAATCAAATTCTGCAGATGGAAATCCAGTGACTGGAACAGGCTACATCGAGAGCCCGCCGTCGCAAAATGGCAGTAGCAGCGCATCAAGCATCAATGGAGATCAGAGATCAACAACTGATTCATCCCCCGCAAATGCAAACAGCAAACCACGTGGTCGTGTCCCACCCGGTGGTTTCTCATCAGGTCTCTGGTAAAGAATCAACACCACCAGCAACATCTTCACATGAATTCGAAAATTTCAGCAGTCTGAAGTATTAAATTATTACCCATCGACAAGAAGAAAATCAAGAATTAAATCCTCATGAGAAAAGCCAGATTCATTTTCGATAAAATCAAATTACATCAGATGAAATTCCATGAGATTCATCAATTAATTTCGTGATAAATGATTAAATAAACGCAAGTGCACCCTAATGTTTAAGTCAAGTGCTTTCTTAATTCTGTGCCTTTTGTGTCTCACAATTATTATCATTTCTATTGATAAAAAAAATGTGATCATGGTAAAGGCTGAACAAGTCACGATAATAGGTGAAACGAGAAGGATTGATCACTGAATTTTTATAAATTTTCCTTCCATTTTTGGTTCGTCAAAAAATTCTTGAGATTCTGTAGAGCGAAATAGCGCAGGCCAACTTTTAATTGATTTAACTGTAGACGAGATTATTCGAGTCTTGCAAGCGTGTTCTCTCATGATCCTGTTCTCCTGTTATATTAATTCACCAAACGTGCGTAAGATTCATCTCTTATTCAAATTTTCTTCAGTTTTTCATCGCTTCTGGTTATCGGTGTGCATCAAACGCCGGTCACGCAATCTCTCTGGTTTTCTTCATAACAGCACACCTAATGAGCATATTTATTAGCTTGGCGACTCAGTTATGAGTCAACAATTATAAATACAAATGAATAAATATTTAAACTCACCAATATACACGATAAAAACGTGATAAAGCGTAAAAATACACTATTACACTGATCAAATATATGTATTCTTTTTCTTTCTATTCTTTTTGTCAGAAAATAGGTAATTGAAACAATTTTTAAAAATATTAATAACCCGTCACTGTTTGGTGTGAGTTAAATTATAAATGTAATATCACAATTAGTCGTGATTATCCCTCCTTTTGTACTCTGGCAATTAATAAAAAATTTTGTAAGCAATTTAATTATTTTTATTTATGAAAAATGTTCATTTTTCTTATGAAGGTGAGACAGTGACTAGGACATCTTTTCCTCAATTTCGATAAGATTGTGAGCTGTTATTTCGAAGATTTTTAATTAATAAGGGGGCCGCAGTTAGTCATTAACGTGTTATTAATTACACATCAAAATCGATTAGATTTTCCAAGAATATTTTGGGTGATTTTCTCTTCAATCCGTAAAACCAAATTTCCGAAAAAACAAATTATAAAAACCTTGCTGTTTTTTAAATTTGTCATGTATTTATTATTTTTTTCTGCCAGTCTTATGATAAAAGCAAGTATTATGGACTAGCATTGAACGAACAGCTGTTGTGATTCGTTCTTATCCTATTTTATTTTAGCTTTCCTCTGCTTGACGTTTGACGAATTTGGTAAAAAAAATACGCCAAGAGCTCCCATTTTCTTTTTCAATTTTTGTATACGTCGGAGCTGACTGTCTACTTTACCGTAAATAATTATAATCAATTTCGGCGTTTTCCCTTAACAATCTATTTTGTTTTATCCTTCTCCGAATGAATAGTTTTTCTCATTTTTCTCCAAATTTTCATCAGCTCAATTTTTTCAATTTTTTAACTAAAGCACACAAGAAAACTCTTTGTATGGTAGTTTTTTTTTCAATCAATTATAAACTGAAAGAGATTGATTCAGCATGAATTGTTCATGAAAATTAATCTCTAAACCTCAATTCATCAATTATATTATCCATTTTTTCTTAATTCCCTCGCTCTTTCTCAAGTTTGTCTCAAAGAAGTTTTCCAATTGTGGAGATTGACGATTTTATTTTAATATGATGATAAAGAAAAAACTTTTTAAAGAAACATACTAATTTATTAAATCACCAACATTAATCATGACAATGTGGTTTAGCGTCCTGCGCATACAAAGATTTTCACTCTTTTGAACATTCTCCAAAAATCTCTCCTTGCAATGAATGAACACGAAACCAGACGTGAATGAAACAAAGAAAAGAAAATCAACACATTAATAACGACGATTCGTAAAACGTCCAGTGAAAAAATAGAGAAAGAAGACCGTGTCTACAAAATAAGAGTTCTCTTAAGTTTGCCAATAATATCCTTGACGTTACTAGCTCCCCTGCAGAGACTCGTAAATACGTGTCTCTGATTTTCGTCGCTCTCGAATCTGCCAGCTATCTCTCTAGCCCTCCTGGTGATGCTGGCGGGAATGCCTGCGAGCCTCGCAGCATTGAACCCATGGGACTTGGGGCAAGCGCCCTCCACTAACTTATACAAGAACGTAACAGTTTCCTCAGATATTCCATCCTCCTCCTCAGTTTCTACCTCACATGCCATATGAGCTAGCGAGACATCCTTATTCCTCTCAAAGTCCTCGACAAGTGAGTGATAATGAGTGGAGAAAAGAGTCCTACACTTTAGTTTGGTGAGAGCATTAACAACAGCAGCAGCGATGGCAGTTCCATCATAAGTAGATGTCCCCCTGCCAAGTTCATCCAATAGAACTAGTGATTTTCTGCTGGCATGCTGCAGAATCATTGCAGTTTCACTGAGTTCAACCAAGAAAGTACTTCTTCCCGTGAGAATATCATCACTAGCTCCCAGTCTTGTAAAGATCCTGTCGACAATACTGATTTTACATTCAGCAGCAGGAACATAGCATCCTATTTGTGCCATTACTGTTATGAGTCCCACTTGTCTCATCAGAGTCGATTTACCCCCCATATTAGGGCCAGTGAGAATGAGAAGACTGGCATTTCCCTCAGCAGAAATACTCGCATCATTCGCCACAAAATTGTCTGAAATGATGCATGGATGCTTTCCCTCTTTAATAATGGTAAACACCTCCTCACCATCATGAATCGCAGGGAGACAGGTCTCTCTACTTCTCGCGTACTCAGCCAACGATATCAACGCATCGAGCATCGCAATCTTGAAGGTTGCCGAACTCCAGAGGTCGTATTTCTCACTGAACTTGGCGAATATTCTCCTGTTGAGATCCTTGAGGATTTTAGCTCTCAGCTCCTCAGCTTTCAGCTGGCGTGACAGGAGCTCTCGGCACTCAGATGTGTAGTATTTTTTGAAACCTTTCCTCTGCCCCTGGAGTTCATAGGAAGAGTCTGCGAGCTTGGCCCTCCCATCAGGCACCTCCAGCTGAAATCCCTTCTTGTCGGATCCCACGAATGACACCCTTCCCCCAAAGTACTTCTCCTGTTGTTTCAGGTAAACATTCCCATCGTTTTTTATCTCGCGAAACTCCTGAAGGACCTCATCATATTCGATGTCAACTCCTTCTTTAGGAACAATATTCCCCTCTTTCTTGGCTGACTCATGATCAAAAGCTGTTTTAAAATACTCGAGGGTCTCCTGAAGGTCAGGAAAATCTCCCTCAGGATTTTTCTTAAGTGTTCGTTTTAATAAAGAACTTTGGAACTCCTCGAACTTGGAGGCGATCTGCATGGCACTCTCGAACCCCTCGAGAGCACCTGTAAAATCCAAAATCTTTCTTTTGGAGTAAGTCTGAGATTCGAACATAAAAGCCCTCCCATCAGGATGATTTTTCATCTTTTGAGCACTGCCGTGAGTATGAATTTTACTAAGAAGTCTCTCAAGATCGGGCAAATGGCTCATTTTCTTTCTGACCTCCTGAATGACGTCAGGATTGTCCATAAGTTCGGTGATAGCTTCTTGACGACTTACTATGATGCTTTTATGGCAAGACGGACGACAGACCCATTCCTTCAACAGCCTCTTGCCAAAAGCTGTGCAGCAATGGTCTAGAGTTTTGAGGAGCGAGCCATCCTCTCCAAGAATCCTCAGATTGTTGATGGTGATGGCATCGAGAACCATTGTGCTCATACTAGGAGACGTCCCCTCCATCTTGTTCAAGGAGAATACGACGTCTGGGGGGATGTACTCGTGGAAGTGTTTCTGACTGAGAATCTGCTGGTCGAGCATAAAATCCTTGAGGAGATAGACACAACCGCCAAGGGCATTTACTGCTAGTTCTTTATCGTCCTCGGGTGTGAGCCCAAGTGAATCCCCAGGATTGAGAAATTTCTTGAGACCATCTGGCCAACGAAAATCGGAGCCTGCCTCACTCTTGAAATAGTCACCCTCGTGGAGGAATTTGAGGGTCTTCGTGGCAGACCAGAACTGCACGTCCTTGTGGAGGGATTCCTTCTGGGCTGAGAATAATAGAGTGTTGAGGATTTTCATAGTTTCCTGCGACAGATTACCCTTCTCGTAGATTATGTGGACTGGCAGGTAGTGGGAGAGAAGAGTCAGTAGACGTGAGTTGGAGCGATCGTCATCAAACTGTCCCAGATGAAACTCGCCGATGCTCGTGTCGATGAAGCACACCCCAAATGTTGGAATTTTTGTTTTTGGGTTGTTTTTCTCGACGAGAGAGAGGAGGTAGTTGCTCTCTGGAGTGATTATCTCTGGATCTTGAACCGATGAGACTCGAGTTCCTCGAGTAGATATCTGGCAAATCTCTCGGCGCACAACTTTATCGAATTTCGTATTTTTTTTACTCTCCTTCAGACGTGCCTGCATCATCTCTGGGCTCTCTGTTTGCTCGATCCTGGCCACTTTGTACCCCTTTTCCACAAGAATTCCGGAGAATCGAGCGTAAGCTATCTCGGGGAATCCTGAGTGCGCCCATTCACCTCTCATATAGGCGATTCCCAGCTCGTTAGACCCAATTACAGCGTCCATGTGATAGAGTTCGTAGAATTTTCCCACTTTGAAAAAGAGGATGCAGTCGAAATGCTGCGACTTGAGGACCCACCATTGACGCATTCCAGGGGTCTGTTTGTTTAAAAAGTCTTCGGGGACGTAGAGGGTCCGAGGGTCGTACTTTTCGTCGGAGGGAAGACGACGATTTTTATCACGACGATTCTCTGGCTTCAAGAAGTCTAACTTCAGGTGAGGCCACGAGTCCGCGCCTGAGGTGGGACCTGTTACAGAGGGATTCTTTTGCAGTTGGAAAGATTCCTCCTGGAAGTTTATTTATGTTAATTATCGTATCTCCTACAAGCGAGATTACTAGTTTATTAGAATTATGAGATTCTAGAGATTCATTTTATAATTGTGCTCCATTAGTTAGAGATTTAAAAAAACTGAAAAAGCATCTTTTTAATAAAACAGATAAAAAATATTTCATTCTATTTCTTACTTTTGATGTGACTTTTCTTTCAGCAGGTTTCTTCAGCGCCCTAGTAGAAGATTTTCTATTTGACATTTTCTGCTTTTTCTACAAAAGGTAAAGAAAATATTAGCAATAATGAATTGTATCTCTCAATTTTTGCATTTAAATATACAAATATACCTGCGGTGTTTCTTCATCAGTTTCCGTTTCTGTGGCAAACGAACTCTCATCAACATCTTCTGTGTCATTATCTGACTCAGAAGCTTCTTCAGATTCATCTGGAACAATACAAAGATTAAAATATCAAGAAGATTAATCAAATTGCCCTAGGTAAATTAGCTAATGAACCATGAATAATGAAATAATTCTCAAGAATAATTCCATGCAAAACTTAAAAGAATCTGTTGACGTTGTCGTGAAATCCCTTTAAACTCTGAAACAGCCTACATCCAATACCAGCAAGTATCCTCTTCTCAAAAATAATTACAAAGCGTATCGAAAATGTTTAGTTAAATTGAAATCTCTGAGTTGTCCTCATAATCCCATTGGCGATTTCAACGAACGTTAAACACCAAAATCAGTATCAATTTAATATGTAAGCAACAACTTCAGATTTTTCATCAGTAATAGCTGCACTAAGTTGAATTGCTATCTTTAAATCTCCTTTACGTTTTAACTTCTGGGATACGTGGCACAAAAAATAAACTAAGTTTTTTTTTTCTTTTGGCACCACAAAAGTCTTATTTGTTTTTACATCCTTATCAACCTTTGATTCCTCCCCATTTTTTGTACAAATGCACATAACTACATGAGTAAATAGTTTACCCTTGGTCTAATAGTGCCTCTAAATGATTATTTACATAAATAATTACGTTCGTTCTCACTCTTGAGTCAAATGATTTTTATCGCGAATTGTCTACATCGCGAATAAAGGAAAAAAATATCACAAGATTTTCAGGACAGATGACTGAGAAAATGAAGGAATTGACCAGAAACATGGAGATAGAATGTCTAATAAGCCCAAAATTTCGGTGCGTGATATAATAAAATAGAAGAAGCGATTAGGAGAAAACTGCCTGAAATTTCAACTCCTGACTCCTGTCAAAAAATTAATTAACTAAATGAATGAATGACCAAGTTGAAATTGATTGAACAAGTATTTTTTGTATTGACCAAATTATTCATTGGGCTTATTATCCCAGGAAACAATAGCCTTGTTGAATAAAGAATAGTTCTGAAATTCGAATTAGTAGGATAACTTTGATTTTTTTTTAATTAACGACGGATTTTAAAGAAATACCTACCAGGTACATAATCATCACTGGAGCTTCCTCCATCCTCAGAGTCCTCCTCAGGGATTATAATTCTCCTGCGTTTAGGTTTAGCTGTAACCTCTTCCTCCTCATCTTTTTTTTCCTCATCCTCCTCATCAAAATCGGGTGTCCTAGCTTTCAAGGGTCTCTTTCTAGCTGCTGGCTTCGCCTCATCTTTATTCTCCTTTCCCTTCCCCTTGCCTGCAATCATTCAAAAGCACAATTACTTCACAATTCTCGATATATATTATCGATGTGAGAAGGGCCGAAAAAAAAAAATTCATCGATTGAAAGTCAAAGAAAATAATATTGAGAAGGGGAGAGAAATTCAACAGTAAAAATTTAGAATGAAAACCCGTTGGAGATTTCTCCCTTTGTCTGGGAAAGCATCGGATATCCAGACAAAGGAATTCACACCTTTCAAAACCCAGAGAAAATTTTAGCTGATTTTAGCTGATGTCAGGCCACCTCATAACAGCAATTGTTGACATGTTTCGTAGAATTAAAATAATAAATAATGAGGCGACAAACCTTTGCCCTTGAGAGTTCGTGTTGGTGTCGTCGGTTCGGGTTTCTTGGGTGTTGTCTTCTTATCAGCCTGGGGTGTAACATTTTTAGGAGACTTGAAATAATTAAATAATGTGTTGATTTGTTTTGTCTCCTTTTTTGACATTTTTTTGGGGATTATTTAAGCGTTAAGAAAAAGTTGAGATGCTTCGACTGTGGCAAATCGTTGGATCGGGCGGATCGGGCCGATAGCCAATGGCGCCAAAACATGGAAGAGAGCGAAGAGAAACATCTCTATCTACAGTATCTGTATCATCTATAGTGTGTGTTGGTGAGTGACTGAAGGGACTGGAGTGGAGGAAGACGGGACTAGGGTGGTTGGGGGGGATGACGCCATATTGCCGTGAGATTTAAAGTACCTTTGTCCTTGCAGTAAATTAAAACATTGTTGAAAACTCGATCACATTAGGAGTGGTATTTATCAATTTAATTAGCTTTTTGGTTCTACAAGTACAAATTTAAATTTTCATCGTAATTAAAGATTGAAATCCGCTTTTGTTTCGATGGCATGTGGAAAATCATAAAATGATCATATCATTTTCGCTGTTTGAAAATTCAATTTATGAAAAATTGAACTTTATTTAATATTCAAATCTTATAACGTATCTGGAAATTCAAACTTGGATTAAAAAATCAATCTTCGTTTAGCATAAAAAGTCTAATTTTTTTCTATTTTTAAGATGGACGAAAAATTTAGTAGATTTACATTGAATATTGACTTCAAACTCCTATAATTGGAAATCGGATTGCAATGTCACTGAAATGGTAAGAAAATTGGAGCGGTCTAAGAGGATCTGTGGTAATATGGACAAATTAGCTGGAGTAGACAATAACAATTATCGAGGTATATTTTATATGTACAATATTATTTTAATTGAACGTTGTGGAAATAAAAAAGATGGAAAAATCAGAAATCGAGAGAGAGACAACAATAAAATGGGAATATTTTTTTTGGTAATGTATTTCATGTTTTATTTAAAATTACCGGTAATGTGCATAAGTCATATAACTGAAAATCTTTCAGACTCAAATTATACAAAATGAGAAAAATAGAAAATAATAAATGAAGTGGCGAAACTAGATGACTCAATGGAATTTGAGAATAAGTTTCTCATGTATAATGTATAAAAGCTCGTGACAAAAAGATATTTGCAACGTGTAATTTAATATGACGACGAGAATCATACTACGAATCTCTACCAAGATAGAATTATAATTAATATATGGCAGAGTTGCCAAATAGGGATACCTGCTGTGAAATTGAACACTTTTTGTCTGCAATTTTTCTTCACTCAAAATTCACAATACTTTCTGGGGTAAGATCGATACTTCATTTTTTATCAATTCATAATAAGGCATTATTTAATTTGATGATTGAAATAGGATGGAAGATCAATCATGGAAATTCATTCCCATTACGTGGTAAGAAGAATTCGAAAGAAAAAATATTAGCCAAGTGGTATTGAAGTGGAGAATGGAAATAAGTGTATTTAGTTCCTGGATTAGTTTTTATGCAGCCATTTCCAATTTTTTTCCATAAATATGTCCAAATATTACCCCTATAACTAATCGGCTACAAAATACTTTAAAACTTATCGCTTATTTCCCAATTATTGCTACGAAAAAAACGAGAGAAATATCCAATAAATTTTGAACGTTGAGGCCTATTCGGGAGACAATTTTTTTCTTTTGGATTTTAGCTAGTCAGAGTTTAGTATTCGAGAATCTTGATCGTCAATCACATTATGGCTGGAATTGACCTTCCATTCAAGGATTATATTTATTCAGATGTTGTCTTTATAGGGAGACGGTTTCCTATTTTCTTAAATCAATTTTGAATGTTTTACGGGTAATTTTTAATGGAGCTTTTCTCTCTTTCCTCTCTTTCTTCCCGGGCGAGGAGATTATCACGTAAAAAACAAATCACGTAACTGAAAATACTGCACTCTGATTCATTATGATTCCGACTCAAATTAGTGATTGGGTGATAGAAATCATGTTTTATTTTCAAACATTCGTCAATCTGATTGTTCAATTGCATATTATCCGTCTACCCTCTCGACTCGTCATAATTTCTTCCTTGCTTCCTTCAAAATGGAAATGGTACAAAATGGAAAACCATTGGCATCACTATCTCCATGTAATTGGTGTAAAGGTATGAAAGGCACAGAAGGGATCACTTGCGATCATGTACCTGCGGTGCCGGTACCGTCCATACAACAATAACCCACAACTGACCCACAATTATTATACTTGGTGTCTAGAAAAGGCATTCTTTCGTTTTAAAAAGTTTTTTTTCAGTCCAAAAAGTTTTAATTGATTTATTTTCAGCAAAAAATTCGGCTGTGTGAAAGTCGAAGTCTCTTTTTCAACACTCGTTCCCTGGGCTCAAAACGCCACTTCCCATACCATGTTGCTGTAAAGGTTTTTTTTGACTAATGGGGTTATATAAACGCTCACGATCTCAAGAATACCTTATCGTAACCCTATCCAAATAATGTACTAATTTTAACATAAAGAAATGCCCAATTTTTGAAACCGTTTGTGGAAAACTAATATACCCCGAAATCTAACGCTCATTTAAACAGCTATTTTTACCACAATTTTAAAACTGTGCATTACCACTGTACCATTACTAAGCGTCGGGCAAAATTTATTACGAAGTTGTCTCTGTGAGGATTGTTAAAGGAGAGGGCTGCTGCTATCTGCTATCGATGTTAAGAATCAAAAATCTACAACAGTCCAATAGAATTACATGTTATTGTTTTATGACTGGTCACTCTCGCCACTTAGACAACCGGAAGGTATACCCTTAATCATGAAGACTAGCATTCCGCAGGTGGCAACAATGATTCATCCTATTTTATGCCGAATAATCAAACTCAAGAATGTCCTAGAAGAAATAGTATTGAAAATAGATATTCAATACAGAAGGGGCTTCGGAAAAGGTACCTTCAAAATAGAGCAGTGTAATTTTGAGAACCCCTATCCCCCCATTACCCAGGAAATAGAGTAATTCTCAATTCCGTGCGTATAGTTGATTTTGTGAAAGGTAGTATCGAATGCCTGACAAAATGTTAAAAAGCCTAAAAAGGTTTTTGAAGTAATCAGAATGAAAAATTAGAAATTTTCCATGGGATCGATGAGAAAAATTTTATATACATTACCATTACTTGGAAAAAGGTGTATGAGCAGGTCATAAATTCTTACATCCATATTTATACCATTTATACCATTTGATCATTATAACTCTACTGGTATAAAAAAATGAAATGTTATCAACCGTATACGAATTTTCGGGACAGTGACACTAAAAACGATTTAGAAAGAAAAAAAAAATCAAATTTTTCTTAGAAATTACTCACTAGTTTTGGTAACTCGCATCTGATTATTGCCTAATGATTCTCCATTTATTTCTAATATTTATTTCTCGTCGAATTCATATCATATAATTCTGTAGCAGTTCCTTAAAAGAATGTTCCTGAATCAACTTCAAAATTACGGAAAAGATAGGCGAGTTTTACTGAATATTTCTGTATGTTGATATGAAAAACGTGGGAAATTATTGAAGGATTTAATCTTCAAGCTGACAAATTTTCCATTTTTTAATAAAGGCCCTAGAAATGAGTGGAAGGAGACTTTTTCCAAAGTAAATTTTACATTTTCAACACTAAATTATCTGACCTTTTGTAAAACATCTCGAACAACGGAGAAAATTTCACTGTCAAATGATTAACGCTTTATTAATATATAAATTTCATAATTTCGTTTTCTCCCCAGCGGGAGCAAAGTACACACTTCCCTGAATTCTCACTTTGCTCCTACGCCGGGGAAAAAATGATGTTCTCACCACGTAAGGTAAAATAAAGAAGCCTTACCCACGTGCTTATCACCCTCGCTTTCGGCTCGGGCGGTAATTCTGCACGTGGGCAAGACTTCTTTACTTTACCTCCCTAGGTGAGAAATATACTATTTTCTTCGTATGATTTTAATACTATTGCATTCGATTTTTTGATAGTTTTTTTTAGAAGAGGCGCTAACATTTTTTCAGTCCGTAATCATTGTCATTATAAAAATAATTTTTTTTATACTTCAATTTTTTTACCATTTTTTTGTAGACGAAAAAGATATTAAGCACCGTAAACCCGTGAAAATTTCGTACTGAATCTCTTGTAGCGGAAAAACCGAGTACCTATGTAAAAGAATCGGCTTAGACATTCTACAGAATTTACGCTTGTAATCCAGTAAAACCCAAAACCTTTCGTAACCTTTTTGGCCCTTTGGCAATTGCTAGTACTAATTTCCTCGTGGCTATTCCATTACATTCCGTCATCATGTACGGCTGGTTGAATCTTCTAGGGTAATTTTCTACCTGTAATTGACCTATTAAAAATTCTGAGACGCTCTCCATCCCTTCCCCCATCAATTCCGGCATGGCGGATGAGTGGAATATATTGAAGACTTGTCGCCCTATAAATTTATTAGTTGTGATCGAACACTATTGGGAGTCTCATCTCAATCAGTACGATATTCTAACAGTACTCGAGTGACAGTAAACGTCTCACTAGCAATTCCCAAGTCGAAGTTCTCTGATTAGTATCAGTTGGAGACATTTTTTGCTCTCAGTGGGGAATTAAAACATTTTAGCAGACTATCATCATGAACACCGACGATCACATATACAATCATGAAGTTGCGCATATTAACAATAACTACAAGGAGATGCTAACAAACGGCCGCACGTATGATGATGTAATTGTCTTTCTCATAAATATCACTGTTTATTAAAAACTAAAGATAAATTTTAAAAAAATAGAGAACTAAAGCAAATTTTTATCGTTAGTGTCACAAACGCTGTTAAATCGTTGAGAATTGTCCCTGGTGTCCTTGCAAGGTTTCGTGGTAACGGAATGTTGTCTAAGGGCCTCAGGATTCGGGTGAGGAATTAATTTTGAGTCAAATAACACTCTTTGTATTTATACCAAACTTTATACTATTGTGGGCTTAATTTAGAATACAAGTATGGGATGAAGCACCTGATACCTCATTATATCGTTACTCAAAATATAATTCAACCGAAAAGGTAATTGTCAATTGCGAAGCCGCATTGCATAGCTTCCAATTTATAAGATTTCCGTGTTTACTGTTCAATGGATCGTGCACGACCTATTCTCTTGTCGCATAATTTCATTTTTATCATTTGGAGAATGTTCACCAATTCTCAGAATGCTATTTTTCATTTTCATTTTCCAGTGATTCTATTAAGTCATTTATTTTGAACAGCTAAGACTGATGCTTCACATTTGCCATTATTAAATAGTTGAGTCATTACACTTAAAATAAGAGGAATAACTAATGCCTCGTATTTTCAACTAAATTTGAATAGTTGTTTGACTCTTTCAGGTCTCCAGTAATACACCATCGGACGATAGTGGGTCGCAATGTGGCAGTGAGAGTCCTCTGGACTCAATATCTTCGCTGAGCAGTACCAAGTCCAATTCTGAAGAAAACTCTACTTTAGAAGGAGTAGTGATGGGTCTTCTCCGGCACATCGCTGGTCTGACTCTCAGCCAAGAAGTCGAACTGCACAGACTTCTCTCCAATTCCGAAACAAAAATGATGAACAACCTTATGCGAAAAGGCAGGCCAGTACCGCTGAATCCATTTCCGGTGGTAGTCCGCAAGTTCGGGAATTCCTTCACAACAGGGTTAGAAACTATATCTGTGATTGGTAATGAGGGAATGGAGGAAGACAACTTGTGTCGGCCCTGGGGCATCGCGTGTGACAAGGATGGACACATTGTTGTCGCTGACAGATCGAACAACAGGATTCAAATTTGGCAAGAGAATGGCACTTTCGTCCGAAGATTCGGAACACTCGGCACTGGACCCGTTCAATTCGATCGTCCTGCTGGTGTAGCCATCGATGCGGAAAAGCGGTTGATCGTCGTGGATAAGGACAACCATAGAGTCCAGGTTCTGACAATGGAGGGCGACTTCATATTTGCCTTCGGGGAGAAGGGTTCTAAAGTCGGCCAATTCAGCTATCCTTGGGATTGTGCTACCAACAGCCAGTGCCAGATTGTGGTATCAGACACTCGAAACCATCGTGTCCAGTTGTTCACTTCGTCTGGAATTTTCCTTCGTACATATGGATCTGAGAACGTAGGCAATATGTACAAGAATTTTGATTTACCACGAAGTGTTGCTTTTAATCCTGAGGGAAATGTCGTTATGACTGATTTCAACAATCATCGACTTGTCGTTATCAGTGCTGACTTCAATAGCGCGCGGACACTGGAGTTCGGTACAGAGGATGCTAGTCTCGCTCTGTTGAGGCCACAAGGAATAGTTGTTGATGACAATGGAAATCTCATAGTGGCGGACTCGAAGAATCATAGGATTCAGGTTCGAGACGCTGCTGGTAATCTTGAGTGGATATTCGGGAGTTTTGGACAAGGGGATGGACAGATGGACAGACCATCGGGCATTGCTTTAACCCGCACGGGGCGAATTGCTGTTGTAGACTTTGGTAATAATCGAGTTTTGCTCATTTGAGATGTCGCACTGATGAGCAAAATGTCACTCCGAATGATTTTAAGTCAGTTTCTGAGACCTATTCAATTAATAGTGTATAAATTTGTCAACACTATTTTTAGATGAATTATCCTCGTTGTATAAATAAGTTTTGCATCGTTTTATATTTTAATGTGATCATGACTTAACAATTTTATTTGTTATGAAAAATATATTGGACGTATTAGGTATTTTCCTATAACATTTATATCGTGAATCCATTGTTCAGTTCTAAGCATTTATCTATTGTGATGTTATAAAATTTAATAAGGGACTTTAAGGTTGTAATATGTGGCAAGCAGACTTAAGATGACATTCTCACTGGGGACAATAGCTGAAAACGTGATTTAAGGCACGCATTTGGTGGAAAACCATACAAATAGAATGGCTCTTTTCTCTTAATTACTTAAAGGGTTGAAATCTGCACATAAGATTTATTTACAATGTTGCTCCAATGCTAATTGTCATATGATCTCTTTTTGTGTATTGGCAAATTATTTCTATATATGCATGGGGACCTCCGCATGAGAAAGATCCACTTTGTTGTTTTTAGTTTTGGAGATAATCGTAGTTTTTTCATTTTAGTCCAGTTCTTCAATTTTTTTCTTGGACTTCAGGACCAGACTCAATATCCTTCTCGTGAAATCTCGCAAATTTCATCATTGTAAGTTCATTAAAAATATTTTTTCTTTTACTGTGAAGGAAAGTAGAAAAGGGCATACTGTATCAATTGAACTGGAGAACTTATGTGTTTGGAGAACTTGGTTGTTTGCCTGATGAGATAAATTGATGAGTACTAAGTATTCAATGGATTTGACCAGAGGACCAGTGGAACCAGCAATGAATGTTCTTTTTTCATGAACTTGAAGTTAGCTGCACTTTTCATATACCAGCCTTCAGCAGAGAATATCTCTGTGAAAAAAGAGGATATAAAAAAAAAATCTGTGTATTCAGGAAACCTTTCTCCAGGTGGGAATTGCCTCACTTTTTTTCAATAAGTGTTTTTTCCTTTTTTACAACAATAAAACGAATTACAGAAATGTTCAGCATAGAATATCTCCGACGCCGCCCATCACAATATCATGTAACCAAATTCCCTGACTTCGTTTTTCAAAAATCTAAATGGAAATTCCCTTTTTTTTATTTCCCCCCTTCGTAATTCGGAACTTAAAAAAAAATCAGAAAAACTTCAACACTCCATATCTCACGTATGGAGCAACCCCCAGAGTTGAGTCAAACACAAAAATTTTTATTTTGCATTGGCCTAAAAGGGAATTGGTTTTTTTTTCAAATTTTTGCACGAAATTTCGTGAAATTATTTTTATTAAATGTATAAAACTCTATAATCTCATAAGAATTCGGCAAAATTCGGCAAAACAAAAAGTTGACTTATTTAATTTTTTTTTAGACCAATTCCCATTTAGGCCAATGAAAACTAAAAATTTTGGTGATTGACTCAACTCTAGGGGTTGTTCCATACGTGAGATATGGAGTGTTGAAGTTTTTTTGTTTTTTTTTTAGTTTATGTTCAGACGGTTATTTCCTAGTTATACAAACCATAATCTGCTTAACTTGCAGGTAGAACTTAAGATATTAGTACTTGAGCTTTGATGTAATTTTTCTTAGAGCAAGATGTTTTGAATTTTCAACAAATTACTTCGTTGTGTTGTGTGATTGAGACATTACCATGTAGTATATGATGAAAAGCTATTCGAATCTAGTGTAGAGATACTTCTAGATGGTAATGACAGAGATTATAGGGGAGATTGCTAACGCCAATGACGAGACTTCAACCAGGGGAGAGATTTTGCGCGTTTATCTCGACTTAAAACTTATTTTTTTGCTCCCATTAGGAGGCGTTTTGCGGCGTTTATCAGATGCCTTTTAGAACACTGAGAAGTTAGGTATGTGGAGGTTAAGGCCCGGTTGGAGGGATTTCTGCCCGACATGTCCCTAGAAAATTCCCTAGGAAACGGATCAAAATTGGCTGTTTACGGCGTTACTAATTACGACCGTATTATTGAATGAAAAAATCCAATTTTGGTCGTAAAAAATCAATCATTTATTTCGGTGGGTCGGAAATTAGGTCTGGAAGCGGAAAAA